ATGTCACCTCATTCATCCTTCTCCCTCATCCTTCCCAACCCTACTTCTTTGCTTAATTTTGTAGGATTTACATCGAATTTTATGACTGCATTTCCCCACCCCCTTACTCACTTCATTTATCTACCCTCCTCCTCTTGGCCTTACCCCCTACCTTTTAATTACTTGGTTCTTGGTGTTTTGTTGGACTGTAAATTAGCCTTTCTAAAGAATTACACCATTTAAATTCTCCCCTAAGTATTCCATATCATGACCAATACATTTGTGTACATTTGCATGCCACAATGAAGTGTTCACTTACACATTTATAAATTTAATTCTGCTTCCACATATGAGAGAAAACATGCATTCTTTGTCACTTTTGGCCTGACTTCACTCAACCTAATTTCCCTCCATTTCTTTGCAGATGACACAATATCATTCTTTCTTATGGATGAGTAAAATTCCATTATGTATATTTACCACATGTTCTTGATCCATTTGTTAACTGAAGGGCATCTGGGATCATTCCATACTTTGTCTATGGTGAATAGTGTTTCATTTGTTTTGTTTTTTGGGTCTGGACATGGGATCTGAACTCTGGGCCTGAGCACTGTCCCTCAGTTCTTCAGCTCAAGGCTAGCAGTCTACCACTTGAGCCACAGCACCACTTCCGGCTTTGTTCTTTTGCTTATGTGGTGCTGAGGAATCGAACCCAGAGCCTCAGGCATGCAAGGCAAGCGTTCTACCTCTGAGCCACCTTCCCAGCCCATGAATAGTGTTTCAATGAACATGGTTGTGCTGATGACTTTATTATATCCTAATTTATAATCTTTTGATTAAATGCCTAAGAATAGAAAACTGCTAGATCATAGGGTAGTTATCTGTTTCGTATTTTGAAGAACCTCCATACTGCTTTCTAGAGTGGTTGAGTAAGTTGACATTTCCACCAATAGTGTACTAGGGTTTCTTGTTGTCCACAGCTATGTCAGCATCTGTTACTGTTTGTATTCTTAATTATGGCCATTTAGAGTAATTTCTTTTCTATCAGGCATGGGGCTTGAACTCTGGGCCTGAGCACTGTCCCTCAGCTCTTCAGCTCAAGGCTAGCGCTCTTCTCACTTGAGCCACAGCACCACTTCTGGTTTTCCGATGGTTTATTGGAGATAATAGTTTCACAGACTTTCTTGCCCGGGCTGGCTTTGAACCATGATCCTCAGATCTCAGCCTCCTGAGTAGCTAGGATTACAGGCATGAGCCACCAGCGCCTGGCTAGAGTAACTTCTTTACCCAGTATTTTATCATGTAATTCTATTCCCTCATACTTTTTGGTAAATGTAGAAAGTTGTGTAATCATTACCAAAAATCTAGTTTTGGAATACACACACACACACACACACACACCCTATTCCAAAAATAAACCATGAACTAATTTTTCACACACACACACCCACACACACACACACACACACACACCCTATTCCAAAAAGAGACCATGAACTAATTTTTAGTTCTCTATATCCTTAGTTTATCATGTCTAATATATAACTGACTGTAAAATATAAAAATGAATACTGTAGAATTTTCCAAAATTGTTTGACTTTTAGGTTGGTTAGTGTTTAAAAGTTAGTTACAGCTTATAAGCTCACACTTATAGTCTTAGCTATTCAGGAAGTTAAGATCTGAGGACTGTGGTCAGCCTACGCAGGAAAGTCCATGAGACTCTTATCTCCAGTTAACCATCAGAAAACCAGAAGTGGCCGTGTGGCTTAAAGTGGTAGAGTGAGCAAAAGAACTCAGGGACAGTGCCCAGGCTCTGAGTTCAAACCCCACAACTGACAATAAACAAATAAATAATAGTTGATAGCATGACAGTACCATGTGCATATGTACACACATATGATGAAAGTGTGGTGTATACAGGGGAAGATTCCTGTAAGTTAGTTGTTTGAAAGAATGACTTGTTTGGCCGGGTGCCTATAATCCTACCTACTCAGGAGGCTGAGATCTGAGGATCACAGTTAAAAGCCAGCCTGGGCAGGGAAAGCCGAGAAACTCTTTATCTCCAATAAACCACCAGAAAACCTGAAATGGCATTTGGTTCAAGTGGCCTTGAGTGGAAGAGCTGAGGGACGGTGCTCAGGCCCAACTTCAAGCCCTATAACTGACAAAAAAAAAAAAAAAAGAAAAAAAGAAAAAAAAAAGATGACTTGTTTGAACAACTAACTTACAGTTCAACAAAAAAAATGAATACCAGGAAATCCAAATGTTATTAGGAATTGGGGAGGTCAAGTGGAGAAAGTTCAGATGAATGGGGAGAGGAAGGGTAGGCAAATATAGTCATAATTTTCAAGGTATAGGGCTGGGAAGGTGACTCAGTGGTAGAGTGCTTGCTTTGCATGCCTGAGGCCCTGGGTTCGATTCCTCAGGACCACATAAGCAAAAGAAAAAAGCTGGAAGTGGCGCTGTGGCTCAAGTGGTAGAGCGCTAGCCTTGAGCTGAAGAGCTGAGGGACAGCGCCCAGGCCCAGAGTTCAGGCCCCACGACCAGACCCCCCCCCCAAAAAAAAATAATTTTCAAGGTATAAATATGAAAATGGAATCAGGTAACTTGAGCACCAGGAGAAATGGGGGAGAATGATAGACTCCATCTCAACATTGACCAAGGTGCATTGTACTCATAAATTGACATACTGAATTAAAACCTCTTTGTACAAGTACTTAAAGATAAAAAGTAAATGTTGATAGCTTAGATATTTTCTTTTTTAATGCATGTATATATTATTGTTACTGTAAAGGTGATGTACATAGAAAAGGTTACAGTTACATAAGTCAGGTCATGAGTACAGTGTCACCCCTTCTCCTTACTCTTTCCTAGTTTCCCCTCCTCTCCCTACCCACAAGTTATACAGTTCATTTTCAAATTAGTGTCTAGTGAGTATCACTGCTGCATTATCCTTTGTCCTACTCTTTCTGTGTCCCCCCTTTACCATCCCAAAGACAGATAAACTAACAAGACAAAAGGTATGGGAAACCAAAACAGCAACAAAGGAAAAAAGCCTCTTGTTTACATTTCTTGGAGTTCATTTTGATCAATAGTATTTTTTTTTTTTGGTCCGGTCGTGGGGCCTGAACTCTGGGCCTGGGCACTGTCCCTCAGCTCTTCAGCTCAAGGCTAGTGCTCTACCACTTGAGCCACAGCGCCACTTCTGGCTTTTTTCTTTTTGCTTATGTGGTGCTGAGGAATCGAACCCAGGGCCTTGAGCATGCAAGGCAAGCGCTCTACCACTGAGCCACCTTCCCAGCCCATTGATCAATAGTGTGTTCACTTATAGATATATAGGCACATGGTATTTTTGGGTCTGGCTTACTTGGCTTAATATAATTTTTTCCATGTCTTCTGCCTGATTTGGCTTCCAGCTGTGATCCTCAGATCTCAGCCTCCTAAGTAGCTAGGATTACAGACATAAGCACTGCTGCCCAGCCCAAGTGTAATTTTTTTGGCTTTTACTCTCCACTGGGTTTACTGGATTACTTGTAGATCTATAGGCACATTCTAGTTACCACAGATTAGGGAAACTATTGCAACCTATGTTTATTTGAGTCTGGCTTACTTTACGTAGTATAAGTTTTTCCAAGTCTTTCCATTTCCTTACAAATGGAACAATGTCATTTTTTTTTCTGATGGAAACATAGAATTCCATTGTGTATATACACCCCATTTTCTTGATCCATTTGTCCACTGAGGGTCATCTGGGTTGATTCCATATCCTAGCTATGGTAAACAATGCTGCAGTGAACATGGTTGTGCTTGTGACTTTAGTGTGGCTTGGTTTGTGGTCAATTGGATAAATGCCCGGGAGTGGGATTGCTGGGTCATATGGAAGCTCTATGTTTAGTCTTTTGAGGAACCTCCTTACTGTTTTCCAGAGTGGTTGAACAAGTTTATGTTCCCATCAGCAGGGTAGTAGCATTTGAAAGGATCCATCACATCCATCCCAGGGGACCACTTGGAGGCAGGCAGGCACAGGAGAAAGACTATTAAAAGGTTTATTAGAAGAGCCATATTTCCACCAAGAGAGACCACATGGCGACCTTCAGGTAGCAACAGGGTCTGGGGGTTAGGAAGTGAGGTAGATGGGAGCTCAGGTGGGTCTGGGTGGGGAGAGAGAGGGGCCAGCTGTAGGGTGGGAACTCCAGGATAGGTAGGAGCTCAGGTCTGGGTGGAGCTGAGGACCAAAGGCGAGCATAATGCTTGCAGCATTCCCTTTTGGCCACATCCCTGTCAGATTCTGTTATTGTTACTTTTCTTAATAATGGCATTCAAACTGTGGTGAGGTAGAATCTCAATGTTGTTTGATTTGCTTTTTTTTTTTTTTTTAATGGCCAGAGATATTGACCATTTCTTTATGTGTCTATGAGGGCCATTCTTCTGAGAAGTCGCTCTTTAAGTCTACCCATTTGTTAATTGCATTTTTGTTTCTTTGAGGGTTTATTTTTGGGGTGTTTACATTTTTGAGCTCGTATATTTTAGATGTGAGGCCCTTGTCTGATGAATAGCTGATAAAAATCTTCTCCCATTCTGTGGAATTTCTATTTATCCTTCTAGCTATGTCCTTAGCCACACAGAAACTCTTTAGTTTGATACAATCCTATTTATCCTGATTGACTCTGGGTCTTCACTTAAGAGGTTTCAACCTGTGCCTAGTGTTTCCCCTAATCCTTCCTGTAATACTTTAATGGTATCTAGTTTGGATATTTTCTTCGGTGATACTTCTTCTTTGAACACAAACATGTTTCATAAGGTGAGGAGTGGTGAGAATTTTGAGTAAAAAGGGAGTGCTTTAGGAGATGTTTTAAAATTTGCTTCTGCTTAGATGTTACAAACTAATGAGTAGAAGAAAGTTGTTGAATAAATGGAAAGTTATAAATTACTCAGTAATTTGAATTTGAAGGATTAATTAGAAAAATTTATATTATCATGCAAGTAAGATGGTTTTATAAAATATTCTTTCTTTATTTTAGCTTCCCAGAATCAAGAACGGCTATGTGCATTCAAAGACCCTTACCAACAAGACCTTGGAATAGGTGAGAGTCGAATCTCTCATGAAAATGGAACAATATTGTGCTCAAAAGGTAGCACTTGCTATGGCCTGTGGGAGAAATCCAAAGGAGACATCAATCTTGTAAAGCAAGGCAAGTAATACTATTTTTGTAAATGTTTTTGTGTTTCATGTAGATAAAAACCCATTACAGACAAATGGTAAATTTTTAAAATATACATGTACATAATTATACACATGTGTATTTATGCACCTGTAAGTCTCAAATTTGTAAAGGAAAACTTATTTTTTAGCTTTAAAACATTTTTCTTATTATGTTAATATACACTGAAATGAAGCTTGACAAATACAGAAAACTATAAAGAAAAGCAAAAGCTTATTCCATACTCTTAAAAATATTTTTACAATCCAGGCCTAGTGGTCATGCATGTAAATACTTAGGGGAGTCAACCTGGGCAGAACAGTTTACAAGTCTCCTTAACTGATAGCCAGGTGTGATTGTGCATGCCTGTCATCCTAGCTTAGTGATTCAGGCTTGTACTGGGTAGGAAATAAGACCGTATTTCAAAAATAAAAGTCTAGAAATGTGCTAGCAAGTTTGAGACTCTGAATTCAAACCCAGTATTGAAGGAAAACTCTTAATTATAATAAAGATTTTTTTTTTGCTGTCATAGTTTATCCCTTAATGTATTATTTCTATACCTTTATGTTTACATATGCATGTATTTTCAAACTTCATTCTGTACAGTTTCATATCCTTTTTTCAAATTCTAATGAAGAAAAAAAGATATGAAAAAAGGTATGAAATTATAGAATTACCATAATTTATCTAGTCTGAAAATATAATGTCTGCAGTGTTTCCCTGTATACCTTTATCACATTTTACTTATATATTATGGACATTATGCTTTTTCAGTCTTGGACTATAGTGTATAGTGCTTTCGTGAATAACTTTGAACATCTATCTTTCATTGTATCTGTTTATTTCCTTGAACTAGATTGGTTGATATAGAACTATTAGATTATAAAATAAGAGAATGTTAAAGCTCTGCATAAAAAAATTCATGGGGGACTGGGAAGGTGGCTCAGTGGTAGAGCGCTTGCCTTGCATGCTTGATGCCCTGGGTTTGATTCCTCAGCACCACATAAGCAAAAAGAAAAAAGCTGGAAGTGGCGCTGTGGCTCAGGTGGTAGAGCGCTAGCCTTGAGCTGAAGAGCTGAGGGACAGTGCCCAGGCCCAGAGTTCAGGCCCACTACAGGACCCCCCAAAAAAAAAAATTCATGGGGCTTTCCAAAAATACCATCTTTTTACATTCAGTTCATCATTGTATGAATTGTGTCTTCTCAGTCCTTGTTATGATTGTACATTTTATATTTAAAATCAAGAACAATTTAATTAAATTTGAAATGGTTAATTGCTTTAATAATTCTTAGTACAATGGTACAGTTAAGCCCTTCTGTTTGTTTGTTTTTTAAATTTCTTTCCTTTTTCTTTCTTTTTTTTTTTGTAGTCATGGGGTTTGAACTCAAGTTAAACCTTTGTTGGTACCTTTTTTCTCATGATGTATCTGTTGTATCCCTTGCCATTTTTAAAAATTGGTTTAGAGGATTATAACTTAGGTACACTTGTTTTTTCATATCTACTACAATTTGTTTTTTATTTTTCTTTATCATATTGTTCTAACTTGTTTATACTAATACTGTTTATAGGATGTTGGTCTCACATTGGAGATCCCCAAGAATGTCACTATGAAGAATGTGTAGTAACTACCACCCCTCCCTCAATTCAGAATGGAACGTACCGTTTTTGCTGCTGTAGCACAGATTTATGTAATGTCAACTTTACTGAGAATTTCCCACCTCCTGACACAACACCACTCAGTAAGTAACTTTTCTTTGTAATTCCTTTCTCCAGAGATTTTGAAAATACAAAACAAATAAGTAAGGCTGAAAGGTATGAGAGGGAGAGTTCTAGCATTGTACAGTTATGATTAGCTAACACTCAAAATCCAAGAAATATACCAGGACTGGCAAGATAATCAGCATAGTACAAGATACATTTGAATCAAAATATAATACTCTGGCTGGGAATGTAGAGTGCTTGCCTAGCATGCATGAAGTCCCAGGTTCAATTCCTCAGTACCACATAAACAGAAAAAGCTGGAAGTGGCACTGTGGCTCAAGTGGTCGAGTGCTAGCCTTGAGCAAAAGAAGCTCAAGGACAGTACCCAGGCCCTGAATTCAAGCCCTAGGACTGGCAAAAAAAGAAAAAGAAAAAGGAAATACGTGTCTGGGCTTGGTTGCAAGTGCCTATAGTCCTGCATATTCAGGAGGCTGAGTATGTTGCCAGCCTCAGCAACATAAACCCTATCTTAAAAAACAGAAAAAGCCAGGTGCCTGTGGCTCACACCTGTAATCCTAGCTACTCAGGAGGCTGAGATCTGAGGATCACGATTCAAAGCCAACACGAGTAGGAAAGTCTGTGAGACTCTTTCTCCAATTAACCATCGGAAAACTGGAAGTGGTGCTGTGGTTCAAAGTGGTAGAGTGCTCACCTTGAGCTGAAGAGCTTAGGGATAGCACCCAGGCCCAGAGTTCAAGCCCCACAACCAAGAACAACAACTGAAATAGAAAAGTGCATATGTACTTTAGTCTTCCCCTTACATCCACATTTGTAAGAATTTATCTGGAAGATACATCTTCAATAGTATGAAAATATACATATGGAGTTAATCATTGTATTATCACTTGTAACCACGTAATATTGGAAACTATATGTCCAAGAATAGGCAATTAGTTTAAATGTGCTATTATACATATATAGAAGATTTTTCTTTTTTCCATTCCTTGGGCTTGAACTTAGAGGCTGGGCACTGTCCCTAAGCTTCTTTTGTTCAGGCTAGCACTCTGTCACTTGAACCATAGCACCACTTCTGGTGTTTTCTGTTTATGTGGTACTGAGAAATTGAAGCCAGGGCTTTATGCTTGCTAGACTACCACTAAGCCACATTCCCAGCCCCATAAATAGAAGTATTGACTACATTGCTACAAAAAAATAAGCAAGAAGCCAGATGCCGGTGGCTCACACCCGTAATCCTAGCTACTCAGGAGGCTGAGATCTGAGGATCATGGTTGAAAGCCAGCTGGGGCAGGAAAGTCAGTGACTCTTATCTTCAATAAACTACCAGAAAACCAAAAGTGGCGCTGTGGCTTAAGTGGTAGAGCACTTGCTTTCAGCTGAAGAGCACAGGGACAGCACCCAGGCCCAGAGTTTAAGACCCACAACCGACCAAAAAAACCCAAAACAAAACAAATCCCCCCAAACAAGATCTTTATGAAATGACCTCGAGTACTTTTGCATAAGACAGAAAGGAAATAAGAAAGCGTATCTACTTGCTTATCTTTACAAAAGGAAACAAACAAAGGATATACCAGAAAATAATGTAGTTGGGCAGATAGGATTTTGAATCCAGTTAACAGTTCTCTAAATATAGCTTTCAGTATGCAGTTTTTGATTTTGTTATCATGTCACTAGCCACGATTCTACATACACAAAAAATAAAATGAAATTATTAAGAATGGGAAGACTCATCATCAGGATGCAGAAGCCAGCTGAAGGAACTTACTTATACTGACTAATTCTGGGTCAGTTTGATCAAGTAGAACTCAAAATAGTTTAATTCCTTAGAAAGGCAAAATCAAAGTTCAGCAACATGAAATGCCAGAAGGAGTGGGGATGAGGTCAAGGGCAAAGAGTTAGAAGAATGAAGAGAACAAAGAGATTATAGCCAATGTATATCCTACAAAATTAAGAAGAGCGAGAGAAGGCATGTGTGGAGAAGGATGAGGGAGAATGTAAGGATGACATTGATGAGGATATATTATGTCCATAAACAGCTTTGTTAAATGGCAAAAAAATAATGGAATGGTAATTAATTGTAAGAAGAAGGAAGAATATGAATTCATGAGTAGAATGTCAAGGGCTAAATGGTAAATGTAAGTGTGGTATAGTCAACAAGTCAGAATTCTGCAATCACCATACAAACACAGGCAAAAATTATCAATGGATCCTAAATTGGAGGGCAGTTTCAATGAGAAACTATGATATTTGTGTGGTTTTAAGCTATCTCCAATATAATTACATGGGGAAATTAATAATTATAAATCAGAGAATTTGGACAGCATCTTGACCAGGTTATCAAAATTTAATACCATTAATGAAAGACATTATACTCGGAGGATATATCACTACATTATAGTACTGTATTCCAGTTAAGAACGCATAGCCTATAGTCATGAGAGATCACCAGACTCATCCTAACATTGTTCTTTTGCAAAAAGGGGTTGCATTATGTAGTCTTCAAAACTGTCAGTAGCTACTCAGGAGGCTGAGATCTGAGGAGTGTGGTTCAAAGCCAGCCTGGGCAGTCCATGAGACTCTTACCTCTGATTAATCACAGAAAAATACAGAAGTAGAGCTATGGCTCAAGTGGTAGAGCGCTAACCTTGAGCAAAATGGAGCTCAAGAACAGTGCCCAAACCTAGAGTTTGAGCCCCAGGACCAGCAAAAAACAAAAACAAAAAACAAAAAACTCCTTGAACATAGATCTAGATTAATGGAGTCTAAAAAATATTTGACAGCTAAGTCATACCTAATTGTCCTATATGATAAAGTAAAAATGTGATCACTGGACATCATGCAGTCAATTGATAAAATAGATGTTCAGGGTTTCTCTATGTAGTTTCTACCTACTTAAGGCCATCAACTTTTATTAGGAAATAGGTACATTATTTTTCCTTAAACAAAAAAACCAAGCTTGCTATTATTCACTTCTAGATCCAGTTAGATGGAAGATGAGAAGTGAGTTTGTGTATGTTTTAGCCTTAAAGATCTTCATAAGCTGCATTATTTTCAGGTTGTTACTTGTGTTTTGGTTTGCTGTAATCTTTTGATACAAAAATAAGAGTATAACCAACTAATGCTATGCTAATAAAAAGGGAAAATATTTAAGTAAAGCATTGTAATTTAGGGACATTTATACAATATATTTTGTTTTTCAAACAAAAATATTGAGCCAAATTTAATTTAGCAAACAAAATGAATACTGAATTTTGCATTACTCTCAAGAAAAATAACTCTAAAAACAACTAAACTTACCCTGTAACTGCTAAATGTTTAACCAAAATAAGAAAAGTTTAAATGTTGAGTCTAAAGAAATGAAATATATAGGAACTTTGTTCATGGCCTTATAATATGTAGAAAGTTTGGTGGTGATGATTTTTTCCTCCTTTGAAAAAATTGTAGCCAAGCGCTGGTGGCTCATGTCTATTATCCTAGCTACTCAGGAGGCTGAGATCTGAGGATCACAGTGCAGAGCCAGCCTATGCAGGCATGTCCATGAGACTCTTATCTCCAATTAACCACCAGAAAACTGGAAATGGCACTGTGGCTCAAGTGGTAGAGTGCTCGTCTTGAGCTGGAGGGCTGAGGGACAGTGCCCAGGCCCAGAATTTAAGTCCCATGACCGACCCCCCAAAAAAAATTACATAAACTTACCACAAATATAATGTAAGTTAACTCTGGGAAAGGTTGCATAATATTTCTGTATTTTTGAAAAAGTAGGCATATATTTACTTGTGTAATTAAAGAAATGACTACTTATCCCTTTGAAAAAAGTAGAAATACAGTGTAAGTTGGGCATAAAAGCTGGTGGCTACTTAGTGCTAGCTGGTCAAGCAGCTGAGGTGAGAGGATCTCTTGAGTTCAGAAGTTGGGACAAATTGCAAGATCTTATCTCCAAATAAGAAAAAGGAAAATGACATAAGTAGGAAAGAGAAAAATAATATGCAAACTCTATACTCATGTGCAATGATTGCTAATTTTGAATTTTTTTCTAGTACTTCTAATTTTGTGCAGTTTTATTAGTAATAATACATGTTTTTATCTTTTTTGGTTTAATGTAACATAGTATTTTCAAGATTATTATACATTTTTTTTTGGGTCCGGTTGTGGGGCCTGAACTCTGGGCCTGGGTGCTGTCCCTCAGCTCTTCAGCTCAAGGCTAGCGCTCTACCACTTGAGCCACAGCGCCACTTCCGGCTTTTTTCTTTTTGCTTATGTGGTGCTGAGGAATCGAACCCAGGGCCTCAGGCATGCAAGGCAAGCACTCTACTACTGAGCCAATTTCCCAGCCCTATACATTTTTTAATACCTTTTTTGGGGGATCGGTTGTGGAGCTTCACCTCAGGGCGTAGGCATGTACCTGAGATTTTTTTTGCCTAAGGCTAGCACTCTGCACTTTGAGCTACAGCTCTACTTCTAGTTTTTATTTTTTTTTTTTTTTTTTTTTTTTTTTTTTGTTTTGTTTTGTTTTTAATTTAATTTAATTTTATTTGTGAACATACTGTACAGAGGAGTTACAGTTACATGGGCAGGATAATGTGTACATTTCTTACCAAGCATTGCAGCCTCCTCCTTTGTTTATCCTTCACATCCCTTCCCAGCCTCCCCCCTCCCCCCCTAATCCCAATCCTTCTCCTTCCTCCCTCCCCCCAGCCCCCCCCCCCCCACCAACATTGTAAAGTTCGTTTTGGACATGACAACTTGTACTTCTCATTGTTGCAACAGGTCCACCTGTATCCTTAAACAACTGGTTTTTCCCCATCTCCTCCACAAGTTATACTGACATCAAATATAGTGAAAGCAAGGGTTATACTGTGGGGGAGGGACATACAAAGCAACAAAGAGATAATCTTATAAATGTGTTAGAAACACATGCATGAAAGAAAAAAACATTAAAATACACATCTAAGGGTTCATTTTCCTGACATCACATTATCTGACCTTTTCCGCTTGACTCATACATATACTAGATATTACA